TGAAGAGGCGCGACCGTGTCTCCCGAAACCGTCGGCCGAGGGGGGGGGGGGGCGGGGACGTCGCCTTGGGGGATCGCGGGGGCGTGGAAGGACGAGCGGGGGGATGGGGGGGAGGCCGTGGAGGGATTGAGTGATTTTCAGAATTCTTGTAGTCACGCAAGTTTTGTGCCAGCGCTGGTCTAGCTTATTTGTTGTGTTCAACAGGATGTGTTCCAGGGGGAGAAGCTTGTTGGAATTATTCCGAAGGAAACAAGGAGTGAACTGGGTGAAAAAGGATGCGGCGCACCTGCGATACATCGAACATGGGCAACAGTTTGAGTGGCTACAACACTTTTTGTAGTCACGCAATTTTTGCGTCCGTGCTGTCCCAGCTTACTTTTTTTTATTCGGGATGGCTGCACTAGGGCAAGAAATGTGCGTGACTTCATTAGGTGTTGTAGCCGACTCAGGTTTGAGCATTGGTTTGCTGTTCGCCTTCGTTCATGATGCTGCTGGTTTTGGTGTTATTTCCTCGGCTCTGCTCTTCTCGTCTCGGCTGCACCTGTATCGTCTCTCTTGATGGTTGTCGCAGCTCAACTCTCTCGTGGGGGACCTGCTGCGCGTAGCAATGCTGAAATCCAGTCCGCTCGAAGGTTGGTACCAGCGCTTCGGTTTGCTTGTGCAGGCTGCGCTTGTTTGAACAGGGGCTCGCCTGCCTGATGCTCTTCGCGCGGGCTCGCCTCTTGGAGGCCGTGCGCACGCGAAACGCCCGTTGCGGCTCCCGAAGATGATTCCGGATAAACTCGGCCAGGCGAAATTCGGCTTGGGAACTCGGCCGGAGGAAAAACTCGGCCAGACAAGCTCGGCTCGGAACAAATCCGGTTGGACAAACCATTCGGACCAGGGAAAGATTGGCCGAAGAAACCCGGCTTGACAAATTCGGCCAGCGAAAAAAACTGGACCAAGCCGAATTCGACCTGCGCTGAACTGGGCCCGCCGAACTCGGGGGGCGCTCTGGTGGAAGCGGGAGTTCATTCTAACCTCCGCCGAACTCGCACCAGATAAACTCGGCAAGAGAAATTTGGCTGGAGAAATTCGGTCCACGTTGAACTCTGCCAGGCGAAACTCGGCCTCGTGCCGGGTTTAGATTGGCCGAGTTCGGTTGGGCCGAGTTCGGCTGGCCGAGTTTCGCTTGGGCGAGTCTCTCCCTTGTCGTTTTCCAGGAAGGTTCGGCCAAGAATGGACACCCCAGTCTCCCAAAAAAGCCGAACTATCGGACATCCCCGAACCATACAAATTGTAAAACAAGCAACGCTTGTTTGCAGTTTGGAGGGTCGCTTGGGGGTATTATTTGGGGCGTCTTCGGGCGTCTGCGGAGTCTGGGGCTCTCACGGGGCCGTTTGGCCGCCCTGCTCACCGCTTTGGGGAGGCCGACATTCGCTCGGGGGAGTGGCGCGGTCCCCCGCCCTGTGAATGTATATATATACATATATATATACATATATATATATATATATATATATATATATATATATATATATGTACATACATACATACATACATACATACATACATACATACATACATACATACATACATACATACATACATACATACATACATACATATATATATATATATATATATATATATATATATGTGTGTGTGAGAATTCCAGGTTGCGTCGCCAGTGGCGCTTCGCACCATACACCTTGGTCCGTCGTTTTTTCACCCGCTGGTGGAACGACGGAAAGAAAGAGACAGACAGAGAGAACAAACAAATCAAACAATACAGTTAGCCTTGCGAAAGATTGTGAATACCATCTTCGCCCACGCTCCCTATGTAGCCACGGCTTCCCGCCGGAGCCCGACATGCTCAGGGACACGTTCGCGGCCGTTTGCGCGGGCGCCGACAACGACGAGGACGGCGCCCCCCTGGCCAAGGAACACAAGCAGGAGAGGGCTCTGAGAACCATGGGGGAAGCTGCCACAGGCGCCCCTCATGGCTCGTGGCGTTGGGTCCTGGCACCCCGACTAGAGCCTTCGGTGGAGCTCCCTATGGGGCCACGAAGCGTGCGAAGGGCGTGCCAAAATGGGTGCGGGTACCGCATGCGAGTTCCGCCATTGAGACCTTAGGTGGAGCTCCTTATGGGGCCACGAAACGTGTGAGGGGTGTGCCGACATGGGGTGGGGATACCATGCGAACCCCGCCGCTGGGACCTTAGGTGGAGTTCCCTTTAGGGTCACGAAACGCACGAGGGGTGCGCCGACAGAGAGACATGCGGAGGGCAGAGGCAAGGGGGGGGAGGAGAGGAGGAGGAGGAGGAGGAGGAGGGGGAGGAGGAGGAGGAGGAGGAGGAGGAGGAGGAGGAGGAGGAGGAGGAACGCGGGGCACCGTCTCTTCAAAACGAGGACCCAACACCAGAGGATGGTTGGGAACGAGTATCTCCACCAGTGCGCCTTTCAGCCTCCTTCGGCGGCAGCCTCGGTAGCCATGAGTTCGCCCGCTGGGTAATTAGGC